TTTAATTTTGAAAAAAAAAATCTCAAAGATCCCTAGCAAAAATTACCCAGGAAATATTTTAAGTTAATTATTAAAATTACAAGCAAACATATCAATTAATTGAAACTACTTCCAAAATCACAAATAGAGAAACATTCAAGGATATATACACTTCATAATTGTAAATACACGTATAGTTTCTTAGTTTGTTTGTTTCTTTTTCTCTCTGGGTTTTTTTGTTTGTTTAAACCGGAGATTTAACCCAGGCTTCCAAATGCCAGCCAATGCTCTACCCCTAATCAACCCTTTTTCTTTTTCTTTTTTGTTTTGAAACAAGGTCTTACTAAACTGTCCAGGCTGGCCTCAAAGAACTTTCAATCCCCCAATCCTTTTCTTCCTCTTGAGTGGCTGGGATAACATGAGTATGCCACCATGTCCAGCTGGAAGTTACTAAAGTCTATTCTGAACCACTTTGTCAAAGAGTATGTACCAAAGATAATATGTCAGTATATTCATATGATGTTAATAGCAAAAAAAAAAAAAAGCAAAACAAAGACAGGTATTATTGCCTAGATTAGCTCTCTTGGGTACACCCTAGAAAATACATAAAAAAATTATTGGAAATTCTTAAAAGGCCATTTCAATCTTTGTGATGTAGGATAAAATATAGTGGCAATCACAATTTCTACATATTGACTCATTTTTTTCATATTATATGAGTGAGGTGTAGCATACTTTCAAAAACTATTATTAAATATGCACTATTTAAAGACAAAACTAATTTCAAACTTGACCATAACTATACCATTTCAGTGTCAATAGACACTGGCACTTATTTTCCTGCACAATAAATGAATCAATTAACAGTGTTCTGATGAGAAATAATCATGCATGTAAGCATTATTAGAGTGGCTGAAAACATTTTCAAAGCATAAAACAAACACAAAATTAGCAAATAACAGAGCTGTAAACAATCTAAGCACTGTTTTCTAAGTCTTATTTTGGAAGAATGACTCAGTCACTCTTTTTAAAAATAAAAACCTGATTTCAAATTCCTATCTCCATTCTTTGGAAGCAAAGGGATTTCCATGTTCAAAGTTTATACCACTTTTCCTCTTCCAATCTGGAAACCTTTTAGGCTCCCATAGGAACAAACTTAAGCTTCCTGATCTCTAAATGCATTAAAGCAAACACTATTAGACCCACCAGCCTCTAATATGTTCAGGGACCAGGGCTCGTGGCAGCTATGCAATTGGCTTCTCTAACCACCTTTGAATTCATTATTATATTCAAATGAAATAACTTTTTTATTCTTTAGAGGTTTTAGAAGACAAATTACAACACTGCAGATCCAATAACAAACAAATCACTCTGCTAAGTAGAGTTTAAATAAAAATCATCATTCCATTTCACCATGGAAAAAATAATTTTAAAAAGAAAAAAAAACAGACTTTTATATTAAAATTATCACAGACTATCACTGAACATTCATTTGTTCTTTGATGGTTTAGAAAAAATACCAATAGTGTTAAACATAAATTCAACCCAACTATTATATAACATATACTCCTGCTTTTTATATGTTCATGATAATGTAAAGCCTAATAATAAAAGCTATTTCTAACCATTTTGGCATAATATTTCATAAGAATTTATTCATACACATTCTGCTTTCTGTACTTAATTGACCTTTTCATTCGAAAGAGTTAAGTTAAACATTAATGAGTGCAGCACAGTACATTGAGCAGGTAATATATTTCACAGACATATGAAACTAAAAATTAAATATTTCACAAGTATCTTGAAAGGATCAACAATGAAGTTCATAAATTATAGATGTCAATATAAACAATAAATGATATGTTGGTAAAATGCTTAAGAAGTAAAATAACATGCAAAAATCAACCGATCTGAGAAGTTCAGTGCTGAGATCTGAATACAGGACCAACAATTCAAAATAAGCATGGAATAAATACTGGTTGAATCAATAAATAACTGCAAAATCTATCTTCTAAAGTCTTAAGGAAATTGTTGGACTATTGGGAAAAGAAAGTTTGTAAATCATAAATGTATTTTAGTCTCTTAAGTGTTATTTCTGAGAAGAGAGCCAAATATATTTCTACAAATATATTTATTAACTTCTCCTAAAGGCAAAATTGAGCTGAAATTAAAAAATAACTGGTTTCAAATATAAATATAAGCTGAAAGAAATATAAATGAATTTGCTGATTGTTCTTTTCTGTTTGAAATAATGACTCAGCCTTAACCATAACAAAATCTCACCCAATATCCTCAAAAATAAAGTTTATGATTAAATTAAAGCTATCAGCTTTGCAAATTAAATATAGATGTCATCATTACATGTGTATTCTACACATAAATATTCCTATTTTATCCCCATAAACTTAACTGGAGTCAACTGAGTCAGAAGCCCTGTGACCTTTATGTCTAAACATTTTTTAACATTATTTCATCTCTTTAATTCTCACAGTAAGCTTGTAATTATGTAAAGGAAAGTTTCTTTACTTTGCAAGTGGAAAAACTGAAAGCATAGTCAAGGAAAACACTTTGCAGAGGGTGATTCATAAAGTCAGTCTCAGCAAGCAGGATGATATTCACAACCTCAAACTCAGGAATCCAGAAATACAAACCACATTTGTGTTTTTTACCATTCAACTCCCATGCCCAGAATAGTAGACCTACCTCCCTGAAAAGCAAAAAAGATACACATGAAATATAAACAAATTTAATATATAAAAAGAAGGGTATGAATCCCAGATAAGGGTTTGAGTCATGTCAGGTCTGAAATTAGGACTTTTAACTATTGGGCAAATGTGTGAAATACTGAGCTTGCCCCAACTTCTACTTCTTCAGGTGAAAGAGCAAGATCTGTTGAGATTACTTCTGAAACACAAGGAAGTCATGCTGGATGCGCTTTTCTCACTTTAATTCCATGACCCAAATCTGTGCTATTTGAGAATATCTAATTGAATTATTCAATTTTGGTAGAAAACCATCTGCTCAAAGCCCAAGTCTTCAGTTCTTACTGGCCATGAAAACAAAGAAGTAAGGTCAAGGTCAAGGGACTGAAGTTGCAGCAAACCTAGTCCAACTTAGGGAGACAGATAGCAACAAAGTGTGAACATTTGCACAATATCATCAGAACAAACAGCATAAGGTCCCAAGCTATTCCACTCTAACACTGATAAGCAAGGGTCAGGCTTCTCTCCTCCAGCCCTTCTTACACCTTTCTCAGTTATGTTCAACTGCAGTCTGTTTTTTTCTGTTGTTGTTTCCCAAGAAGACTGATTTGGTCACCTAAAAATTTTCATTGTAAAAGAAACCCCTTGTTTAAACCCAAGTACAACCAATAGCACCCTTTCCAATTATCCCCTGCAACTTCCCCAGTTTCTTTCATGCCTGGCTACTGAGCTCAGTCTAGTTTGGCTGCCTGCCAGATTCCTCTCTTCTTTCCTTGTCAGTCGTAAAAACTTGGAAAATACTCCTGGACAGCTCAAGGAGACCTTTTAATTATGCAATGTAGCAGTACCTTAGCCTATCCGGGTTTTCAGTAAGGCTTGTGGTCACCAGCAACTCCGTTCTTCTAATTGGTGGGTTTTCTAGTAAGGCTACTTGTTTATATGGGGGAAGGAGAGAAAGACTGGCAGAGAAAGGAAGCAATTTGCAAATCTGAAGATTTTACAATTCCTCTCAGTTCCCTACATTCTAACATTCACTCTATCTCCTAATCTGCCCTCCTTTTAGGACCAGATCATCCACGTGATTTTAAAGATACAAAATCATCAGTATCCTGACCTTTTAGTAGCCCTAGAAATTACCAAGATAGTCATAACTAAAACACTCTCCAAAACTTTTTACTCATAAATGTTGGTGCAACATTTCCTTTAAAAGCGAGCACAACACTAATTTATTAAATCTTTCCTAATCGATTGATTCACATTTTGTCTAACTTGCACACTGAAAGACTGCACGTAAATGTCTGATTGCGATTGCAAGCAAGACAAACTCAGTTGATTAATACTGCCAAGACCCAAAAAGGGGTCCCTGGGCGCCAGCCCTCAGAGTTTGCCCAACGTACATAGGTAGTGGACCCCGCCAAACCCAACACCAGCTATGTCTTCCTTACTCTACCTTGGCACGCTATTTCCAGCTGCAGCATCCAGCTTCCTGTTCATGTCCCATTCAACATTGTAAACACATTCCAAGAAACCAGCCTGCCCAGAGTTCCCTCCTGCACACAGGGAAGTCAGCGCTGCAGCCCCAGCAGCCTCAGAATGGAGAACCGACTGCGTTGGCTTGAGATCCGTGTAGTGAGTAAGGAGTGAGGCCACCGGGAGGTGGACCCAGGCAAGGTCTCGACACCCGCTGCGCCTGGCGCCCCTCTAAGTGTAGCGCCCTCCAGCAGAGCTACTTGACCCAGCCAAAGGGTGACCATGTGGACACCGCCCCGGAGTGTGGGCCCTCCCTGGTTCTGGCCTTTAAAGTGTCCGCGGCCCGGCCTGGTAGCTTCGCGCCTCCCCGCCCCCATGCCCACATTTTCCCCTGGAGCCAACAAAAGGGAGGCTGCGAAGGAAGAAGTTCGCTCTTAGGTCTCCTCGCGGTGACCTGGTGATGACTTACTTGTCCGCTTAGCCGCGAATGGTCTACGCACCCTCAGCGGGACGGGTCCAACAGCCTCCTTCCAGCTCCTGTGCACCAGCCCAAGCCACCCGGACCAAAGTTACCACAAAAGGCTAAGAAAGGCTTCAGGAGCCCAGAGAAAGCTGAGCCCCCGACCTCGTTGAGCTCCTCCATCATCCCCCAAGCGCTCCCATAGTAGGCGTCAACAGGTTTTAGCCTGCTCTCCTGCCGGACGACTCCCGGCGCTTTTCGCTGTCCTAATTTTTGCAACCTGCCGGGCAGAGGCGACGCGCAACCCCGCGCCCTCCTTCCCCAACACGGGTGGCTGGGGCTGACCACCGCCCGCCGCCCCACAGGATGTCTAAAAGATTATACGGTACCTGGTTGGAGTCTGGGCTCTCAGGCAGGGAAGACCCCTGATAAATCACGGTCTTTCCGTACCTTGCTGAGAGATGCAGTCGGGTCAGGCTTTGGGCAGGGGCGTGGAGAGCTGCTGGGTCTTCGGAGCTCCAGCGATCTCCGCTCCAGCACAGCCCGGGCGCCTTTCCGTGGCCGACAGGGAAAGTTTCTCTACGTCAACACCGCGCAGGACTCGGGACCCTCTGGCTCGGGTCCCCTCCCTCTTCGCGCTCTCTGCCCCCTCCCTCCTCTTCCTAATCAGCTGAAGCCAAAACTGGCGCTGGTAGTGGCTGGGGCTGGGGCTGGGGCTGGGGCTCGGGACGCCGGGTCGCTCCCGGCTGGGAACGCGGGGCTCCCCCTCTCGGCCAGAAGGAAACTCTCACAGATTTCGGCTTGAGCACTTCTGTCGGTCTCCTTGGACACTTCCACACGGGACGTCTGTGTTCAATCCGCGGACTTTCTTTCTTTCGTCTCCAACGATCGTTTTCTGCAGGCGCACTGGGCACGCCGAATGGAGGGGCTGGGGCACAACGTGCAAGAAGCGGGTCTGCAAAAGGAGGGGCAGTACCTTACCCTGTCCTTAGCCTGGACAGAAGCAAAGGCACAGTCTCCCACTCCACCCCCACCCGCACCGCGTTTCCTTTGAACCTCCTCCCTGAGCAGCCGGATCACGACTGTTTGCCTGGATTTCCTAACACAATTTCAAAACACCTCTGCAGCTTAATAGTGGGAAAAGTGTCAAACAACACGGATATGGGTAAATTATGCCTTCTTCACACCCTTTATCAAGAAAACATTGACACAGTTGCTGCTGCTCTTGCTGTACCACTACAGACTTTTAAATTTTTCTCCTCATCCTTTAAACTCAGTCTGAAGCTCTGAACTTTGTTGTGTCCTTTTTTAACCATGAAAACTGCCTCAACCGCTAAATCATGATTATTGGCTCCATTTAGATGTTTACCTCAGAATTTAGGACTTCTGTATTGGGTTTGAGTGAAAACATTGCTCTGTGGGAGGAAAAGGGAGAGAAGTCTCATGTAAGCGATTTAAGGAGAATAAGAGGACCTTTACTAAAGTTTTTGGAAATGCTTCTCAGAATTTTGCTTACTAAATTTTAGTTTGAATGTAAAAATAGATAGCAAAAGGGAAGGGGAGGGCGTTTTACAGGTTACCATTTACAGTATGTTACACTGGTAGCCAGGGCTTACAGTCAGGCCAGATTCCATTGATGAATCCATCTTTACTCAATTGCCCTAGGACACTCTACCTAGTTTCAGTTCACAGAATAACAGTCATGTTTACAGAAGTTAAAGTACCATTAGGCAGAGAAGATAATAAAAATTTGGTTCTTACATTCCTCCATGTTTTACTGTAATTAGAAGTGGATGGATGATACTGGAAATTTTCCCCAAAAGACTTTGTAACTGAGTTTTCTTCTCTCTGAAACTTTCCAATTAAGAAATATACAGCTTCACATTTTTTAAATGGAAATTGTGTTTGGGATCACCTAACTCTAACCAAACTCCCTTATTTTGAATATAAGGTAACTGAAGCCCGGTAATCTGAAGTGATTTTCCCCAAAATTTCATGGTTGGGAAGTATTAAAGGTGGGATCAGAGAATAGGCCTGCGGATACTTTGGCCAGTCATCTTTGTTTAACTGTTTTCCCATTTGTTACAACAATTAACCACACACTAAAATTATTATAATGAAAACATTATTGTAAAGACAATGCTAGGTGCTTTTTTTATAAATAATCATTGAACAATTAATCTATGAATAATCACTGAAGTTTAAACAACATTATTTACATTATCATTTATTATAAACATGATTAAAAAAATTAAAAAAAATGGTAGTCTAATACTTAGGAACAGGAAGTTGACTGGGTGACCAAATTCATTGTATACTTACAAATATGAGGTTTTGTTTTTGTTTTAAATACAATTACTATTGTATTTACTTTTACTAAAGATTATTCTAATAAAGAATTCTAAATGCCCAAGGATACACAGGCAAACAACTGGAGTGTGCTAACTTCTTCCTGAGAAATACTAGATCAGTCTTCAATACCTATATCTTCACCTAAACTAGTACAGGGCCAAATAACAAATCAGGTTGCAGAGATCAAACATTGTAAATTCTGTCCTATAAATTAATGGAAAAGCTCATGGCTGGTAGGTATTAAAGCTAGGACTAGAAGTTAGGTCTATGAATATTTGACCCATGGTCTTCTTTAATTGTTTTCCCCTTTATCACAACAGTTACACATACATTAAAAATCATTTTAATTTAGTTAAATAAAATAAGCATGTACTTATTCCTTATTTCAATTCCTCTGATAGCTTTAAAGAGAAGGATTTTCCAACACTTTCTCACTGAACTCAACATTGAGAGTTCTCTGGGTTTTTACAGAACTTACTCTTAGATTCTCAGAGATACGACCCTATGTCCTTCCTCTCATTAAGAATTCTCTCATATTCCAGTCTGCTCCTCAATTAGCTGCTGAAACAACTTCCTGAAGACAGTGCATAGCCTTTCCTGTAGAGGCCTGTGCTTTCTTTTCATGATACTTAAAAATTATGGCTAAAAAGTGCATCCAATATGGGTGAATGAGTGAGGATACTCAAATCTCTAAACTGTCTTTTCCAAATCATTGCATACAATACCCAAAAATTAACTTTTACATTTCCTACCAATGTTTAAGATTTCTAGACTTGCTATTGCTTTGTAAATTTTGTGACCTGACTTTTGATATGAACTGCTTTATGAAATGGCTTAGAGGTATAAAATCTCAAGGATGTCAAAACTGAGTTTTTAACAACACTAAAACCAAACAGAACAAGATTTTAAATCAGATTTATATAGCATGCCCCAGAAAGTGTAGAAAGGATATGCCAAGGAAAGAGTTGCATAAGGCAGGCAGGACAGCACCATTAGAAAATGCCAATTCTACCTATTGCAAAACATTAGATTTCCATTTGACAATACTTTACATTCATCATAGTTGCACATACGCTGCTAAGCATTTGGCAGCCTTCTAATTTTAAAATTAATTTTCTTTCTCATACCAGTTCGAAATTTCTTCCCTGAACTAAAAGGACATCGACTAAGGCTAAAAACCTCCTATTATGTTCAGAATAAGAATTTTATTGTTGATTATTACAAAAACAAATAATATATGCAATTGTTTAGTTCTGTATTACTTCAAATGTATCATAAGAAATTAAAAAAACATGATGGAATTAAAAATTCAGTCTGAAAAGGGGGCAGGTTCCTGTGTGTTATGTACAACAATGAGCAATGTCTTTGGAGTTCCTAGGGGGATCTGGGTTCCAGTATTAATAAGTGTTATATTTATTTTCAAACTTTCATCACTTTATCTATCATTCTAAAAGAACTACTTTATTTTGATCTTTAATTAAGAACAGGAATCATGTGCATTAAAAAAAGAAAATTAGTAGAGGCAAATGCAAAAAGGAAATAAATATCACCTGCATTCTTCCCACTAAGAGTACCTATTGCTCATATTTACTGTATACCCTCCAAGGTTTGTTGAGGTCCCTGAGAGACTCTCCAACAAATAGAATCCATTAAATACAATCTTTCATGATATCTTGGACTTCTTTTAAAGTAATGTTTATAAAGACATGCAACAAAACCAAATCTCTTATATTTTCACTTAGTATTATGTAGTTTTAGTTTTGCTTTCCACTAATTTTCATATGGAGTTCCTAGGGGGATCTGGGAAGTAGAAAGATAAGGCTTTTTCCTCCCCTCTCCCCAAATAGTATCTAGGTGTCCAAAACCATGTACTGAATAACCCATCACCTAGTGCTTTTAGAAGTAATTTTTGTCCCATGCTAACTTAGAAATAAAATGTGGTATCTCCCTACAGAACTTCCAGATGTGGTCAAAAATGCAGTATGAAATGAGACTGCTAAAAAAGGCCCATCACCCACAGAAATTCAGCCGAGATCCCTTGCCATTCAAGCCAGTGGAGCCCTGGAACCTGGAGAAAGAGCTACTTTTCTAACTGCACAGCCATCCTCAGTCCTAGCTAAGGATCTACAGAGCAGGTGCTCTGGGTGGAATATATTTGGTTTGACAAAGGCACCATATGAGCTAACAACAGAGTTTTCCCATTTTCTTTCAAGTTTGTCTTTCCTAATGAACTTTGGAATCACTGTTACATTTTCTTATCACAGCTTTCTCTTCTCTACCTTTGACCCCAAAACTCTTCTACTAGACTTGTATTCAGCTTATACCTCAATTTACTTGAACATAGTTCATTATTCAATTTTTTTTCTTCTGATCTTGCAAGAGGATGCTTTTCCATTTTGTGAGATCTATTCTACAACTATTTGTATTATTTCTTTACCTTCCCACCCCTAAATCACTACTCCTTAAGTGAAAAGGCCATTATCCTACAAGAACTGCAGACACAGATAATACTTGGAACACACAAACACTAAAGTAGGAAAGAGGGAAAGCACAGATCTTAGTCCAAGATCAGCTTTCTATTTCTAGTTTCAGCTCATGTGTATTCTCTAGACGGTACTGAGTAAATGTCTTTATGTGGGGTCCAGCCATAATCAAAAGAGAGTATCTCGGGACCACTTCATGAGAAGACCTGGCTTACTGACCAGGAGTAGTCTCCTGAGGCATGCTGTCCTACCACAACATTTGCAGACCTGGAAAATTTGCTCAAAGCGGTTTCACTGTCATGAAAAATTGCTGCATTTAGAAGATATTTTGTTCATTTGAAAACTCACTTAAAATGCAAAAATAGAACAACCAGAATTTTTGTATAAAATATCTTTATATAAATGTTTTATATAAAATATAACATTTTATATTTAATAATAATATCAAATAAAAATAAAATAATTATTAAATAATTGTTCCTCAACAGAGTAAAAAGATAAATGGTCTAAAAATAATTTGGGGCTATAGAAAGCTTTTTATTTGAAAATCATGACTTGAAGTCTTTCACTAGAATGCTAATTTCTAAATTCCTCTTCAAAATCCTATATCAGAATTTACCCATGCCTGATGATAGGGACTGAAAGAAAAATGAAGCAAAGCAAGGCACCTATACGCTTGAGCCTGACATAATGTGATTTGGGAAAATGTCATCATGCTTTAAAATGTAAAGGGGACATTGGTCCTATCACAACCTAACAACAAAAGACATTCTCTCACTGAGTATCTTTTTCATTATAGGGGTGAAATTAATTCTAACAGTGGCTTTTCTGTTAAAGGCAAACTGTGGCAAGAATTGCCAGAACTGAGACTTGTCATGTTGATTCTGAGTCAACTACCTCTCTGGCTTGGCAATCTGAGAATATACAGAGATAAAGCTTTATCAGCTCAATGGAAATTGGCTAGTTTACAAAGGGTGTGACTGCACAAGACCATTGTTCAATTTCAAAAATGAAAGTCTCCCAAAGCAATTTCAAATTACAGAACTCTTGCACATATGCCAATAGTGCAGGTAAAGATCATCCTTTTCCACATAAAAATAAATTCCTTAAGACTTTTAAATGAACACCACTATCTGTCAATACTATCTGTCAACACCACTATATGTAATGTTTGAGATGATACATATTATACAAGTCAAGAATATAAT